ACATATACACCATGGAATACTATACAGCCATAAAAAAGGATGAGTTTGTGTCCTTTGTAGGGACATGGATGCAGCTGGAAACCATTATTCTCAGCAAACTATTGCAAGAACAGAAAACCAAACACTGCATGTTCTCACTCATAGGTGGGAACTGAACAATGAGATCACTTGGACACAGGAAGGGGAACATCACACGCTGGGGTCTGTTGTGGGGTGGCGATACGGGGTAGGGATAGCATTAGGAGATATACCTAATGTAAATGATGAGTTAATGGGCACAGCACACCAACATGGCACTTGTATACATATGTAACAAACCTGTACGTTGTGCACATGTACCCTAGAACTTAAAGTATAATAAAAATAAATAAATAAATAAATAAATAAATAAATAAATGAATAAATAAATAAAAAAGGTGGTCATATATACATCTATACATCTATTTGGAAACTCAGAAGGACAGAGTGCATACAATGGAGAAGTGCCATCATTTGATTAGAAAGCACATAAGAACTTTTCAGAAATGTGAAAAGGCATACATCCACTTATTCAGGAAGCACAATATATTGTATTCAGAAAAAGTTTAAAATTTGCATCTAGACACATCATAGATAAATGCAAAACACCAAGTGCAAAGAAAAGATCTTGAAAACAGCAGACAAAATAAAGCAGATGATCCATAAAGTTATGAAAATTGCGTCCACTGCAGTCTTTACAATGGCAATAAAGAGTGACATAATATCTCCAAAGAAGTGGGAAAAAATTTATTTTTATCCTAGTATGTTATAGCAAATGTGGTAGGTGGTCTCCAAAGATGACCCCTAGTGAACTATGCTCTCTCCCAAACAAACCAGAGTGACTCAACTTTAACCTATGGAGTGCTGCCGGAGAAGAAGAATAAAATATGTCAGGACAAATATACGTATATGTGATCAAACAGAGAAATAAATAAAAGCAAAAGAATAATTGAAAATTTCAGAATAGTGGTTAAATTTGGTGGGGATGAGTGACTGTGGTGAGGACAAAGGGGATTAAATGAGGTGGGGCAAGTAAGGAGATGCATAATTTTATCGATAACGATCAGTTTATCATTTGGTATTAGCTGTACTAGTTGTCCATTTCATGATATGGTATGACTTACATATATTTTATAAATATTCTCAAGTATGAATCGCATATTACATTTGAACAACTTAATCTTAAAAGCAATTGCATTATGTCGGAAATGTCATTTTTCATGGGCAAAAACCATTTTCCTGTCTAACTCTCTAAAATATTGATTGCATAGTAAGGAATAAACTCCTATTTAATAAAGTATTTTCCCCCTTTACTGCCACGAGAAATCTTTTTTGGCACATAATTAAATGACTCTCATCTTTTTCCTAGAAATCATTCAGACATAAAGGAACATGACACAATACAGACCTTTCATTCTTAATCTTCAGACTATGCTTTGGCCTCAAATAGTTTTTATCTTTTTCATTACATGGGGTATGGATTGCTTTTTGTGTTCCTGTTTCCATAGAAAATGTCCAACTGGCTTTCATTCTTTGATGAAAGAATGCTAAATAAACAGTTGAGATGGATTCTCATTTGCTTGTTTTATGCTCCACTAGATGGAAAAATATGTACCTACTATTTGAGACTAATAACAACATAGCACATTGTAATGTGTCAATTTAATATTGTCAAAAAGTGCAGATGAATTTGCAATACAATTTACATTTCCACGAGTTTACTCATTAATTTATTTAATTTACCTAATGTTTTTAGCATTTACTATGCTGTAATTGTGCTAAGTGATGACATGTAAAAGAGAATATATATTATTGCTACAGTAGAATGTAGGGTGTGTACAAAGGATGGGGTTGGCACAAAAAAAGAGCACTTGATTCCTCCTAGAGAGCTTAGGATATCTGCGCAGAAAAAGAAAAAGTTGAACTGAAACTTACAGAATAGGCAAGAGTTTGTCAGTTAAATGTGGCAGAAGAAAGATTTTCTAGAAGAGAAATTATGTACAAAGGCAAAAAAAAAGTGTCAATTTCTAGCAACTTGGCCAATTTAACTGATGACAAATAGCCATTTTCCCACTCCACAAGAATTCTGGACAAAAATGTCACATAAACACACACACACAGAAACACACATGTGCACACACACACACACTTATATGAACTCAAAAGCTGAAAAAGAAATCCCCTCTAGATCTGGACTCAAGGATCTAAAAAGTAAGAATTCTCTTTCTTCCTTAGGGAACTCGAGGAATTGATTCTGTAGGTGCTCCTTCCTCCATCGGCCTCCTCTTCTCAACCCCAAACATGCACACATCCCAGGGACTCGAGGTACATTTTAATATCTATTCCCAGACATAAGATACAACCTCCAGCTGCGCAGGGAGGGAACTTGAACTAAGTCTTGAAGCTGGGATCTCAGAAGGGCATCACTGGCCATGAGAGAGGCATAACCTTTTCTGGTTATTTGGTTATTGGTAGCAATAACCAAAACCCTGTTGCTTGTTGGCTCAAGAATGTAGTCAAGAAGCACGCACACACAAAATTAATTGCTTTGGATTGGGGGAAAAGGGAGAAGAAGAGTTGATATTTATATCTGATCAAAAATTAAAATCAATACTTGGACATGGATGTCTAAGAGTAAGAGCCTAGAACAGAATCAGTATGAAATTCTGCAAGATTACACTATGCTCCCAGATAGATGATATAGTGTTATACATCATGTTAATAAATAGATTATTCTAAAAGAGACCATAAAATAAATATGCTTAAATAATTAAAGGAATAAAGGAAGGAATACAGCTGAACCTTGAACAACACAGGTTTGAGTTCTGTAGGCCTACATGTACACAGATTTTCTTGCTCTTCTGCCACTCCTGAGACAGCGACACCAACCCCTCCTCTTCCTCCTCCTCCTCAGCCTACTCAAAATGAAGATGACAAGGATGAAAACCTTTATGATTATCCACTTCCACTTAATGAATATTATTTTCTTAATAACGTTTTCTTTTCTCTAGCTTACTTTATTATAAGAAGCAGTATATAGTACATATACCTTACAAAATATGTGTTAATAGACTGTTTATATCATTGGTAAGGTTTTTCTCCTGGTCAACCATAGGCTATAAGCAGTTCAGTTTTGAGGAGTCAAAAGTTATACACACATTTTCAACTGCTTGGTAGTTGGCACCCCTAATTCCCCTGCATTGTTCAAGGATCAATTATATAAAGCGTAGTAAAACAATGAAGCAGATTGGAAAAAGCACTAAGCTTTTAGAAATGTTAATTATAGTGAATAAAATGAACAATTTAAACAAATGATAAAAAATTAATAATGTGTATAATAAACCTAACGAAATCACCCAAGCACATCATATAAAGTATTTACAAATATCAAAGTAAGATTATGAAATATGGACAATAATATGAATTATGTTTAACTCATTTATATTCATTGTCATAAGATTATTTTACATATATTATCTTGCTTACACTTGCTCTTAAAAGTAGACACATATCACCATGCCGATGTTTTGTTTGTTTACTTTCCGTTATCTCTTTCATATAAATTTTTACTTTTGAATTTTTCTGCTTTTATATTATTTATGCTCAATATCAAATTTTAAAAATAAGAATAATACTTGCTTGTTCTCGATATCTTGAATCTTATTAAGTCAGCCTATTAATTTTATCTACTTTAAGAACATGTGAGTAGTCCATTCTGAGAGCCCTTGTATTTAAAAACAAACCAGAAACAAAATGGCGTCTTTGTAGAATGAAAACCCTAATTTCTCAATCTTGCCCTTTGAGAACTTGAGAACTTTGAAGATTTTGGTCCATTTTTATTTCCTGATATTAGTGCTGCAAAGAATAAAACTGACACCAGATTGATTTCATTCCTTTTTTGCATAATCTGTTTCTGGTTAACGGATGCTTACGGAATTATGTTTTATTTAAACCTACATTTCAGTTTGTCATGTTATGTCTAAGTTGGGTCTTTTTTCATAAATATTTTCTAGTAACCAATCAGCACTTTTAACTCAAGGCTTTAATCAACATCAAAAAATCAAATTCAGCTAGGCCTTTGATTATTGCTTTTTTAATGATTGCTTGGCCTCTTCTTCAATGGTACCTATAATTATCAGTTTGCAGCACTTTGAAATGACTCCTTATCATATTTTGGTCCCTTTTCATCTCATCTTGTTATCTTTATGCCACATCCCTTTGTCCTTTCTTCTGTTCTTCATCTATTCTGATGATTTTCTGCTAGTGTTTCTTGGCAATTACGCTTACTGGCTACAACTAAACTTATAAAATAGGTTTCTTCAATATTCTCCAGGTAACTGTAATTCTCATTATTCAAATGACTGTGAAACATCAGGATGATGCTATCTCTCTCTTCCTTTGTATTTCTACAAGTTTGTTTTTTGTTGTTTTTGATATTCTTTAGAAATCTTGGTATTGATTTGTTTTTCTTCAAACACCATGTAGGATTTTGGTTTTTTTTCTCACCCTCAAATGAATGCTTATCCACCAATTATTGTTTGGTAGCTATTTGAATCTCATTCTTGAATCTAGAGATGAGATCCCTTTGCATAATACCTGATTCAATTGTCAGTATCTAGCCATTTTTACTGAGTATAATTCCTCTGGACTAAAGTATGTCTTTCTCCTACCTATGCTGACTAAATTTCCAGTGCTTTGAATAGATTGAAGCTTTCAAAATGTGCCACCCCAGCATGCATTTCTGCTAGGGTTCTTACTGTCTCCATCTTTATCTTTATACTTGTGGGAATTTTGGGGTCCATAACAGCTAAAATTATTACCTTTTTTTTTTTTTGGATCCACAATATTTTCTTTCTAGATTAAAGGTATTTCATACTATTTTAATACAGAATTTAAATACAACATATTTGACTGCATGTTTTAATCATCTAAGCTTTTTTGTTTGACATTAAGCCAGTTCACAATATTAGAAACTTACTCACCGGCTGAAATATGAAGATGTAATCCTATTTATTGTGGCACTTGCTCTTCTTTTATGATCTATCTCAGAACCAAGATTGTTTTTATCAAGGTATGGAGAACAAGGTAAAAATACAGTCACTGGCTTCTGAAAAGGATAAGTTGATGGGTGCTGAATGTGAATCAGAGGGCTTGTGGATTGGACTGAGTAGAAAGTATCTTGCTGTGCTTTTAAATGTGCCACCAGAGCTGGGTCAACCGGTTGGATCTAAACAAAAAATATATTTTTTCTTACATTTTAATAGAAAAGATGCAAACTGTTGGTACATTTCTAATCCAGTTTTTTGCAAATTTTATGGAGCATAGTTTTATACATTTCTCTATACATTGTTAGCTGTACTCAACATTGCATTTTATAAAATATTTATAATGTATAAAAGAACACAGTATTTGGGCCCTTTTTACAAAGTCTTTCTGAAATATGGGTTCCCTGTCTTATGTTATAAATAACTAAGAAACAGACTTAATTGCAGGCAACAAAATGACCTAGAAAACAAAATAGATGTTTTATAATGATTTCTAATTAGGACTATTATTAGATCAAGTGATCTTTAGAAACTAGAAAAACATGACTTGTTTCTTTTCACATAAGAATGGTTAAAAATAAAAAATAGCTAAGATGATTCCAACATTTCAAAGTTCATGGAAAATATCTATAAATAAGTTATTTATTATATGTTTGCTTCTTAATCGTTCTTCTTCACTTACCACTTACATTAACAACTGGGAGAAATAGAGAGGAGAGCATGGGAGGGGAATGAGGCTAGATAAACAGGGAATATTATTTGAGGAAATAAGTCTTGAAAAGTATACATTTACATGCCCTTTGCAAATAGTGTTTGCATATATTAAATCCTTACTCCCAGAAAATGGCTGTTTCATAATTAAATATAATCAAATATTTATTATAATAAATATTGTAATTGATTGTCCTCTTTTTTGCCATCCTCTCTGATCAAAATCTTTGAATTATATGAATGTTCCAAAGTCTGTCATCAATTCTTTCCTAGTCATGCAACATAAATTTTCCCAATAAATATCATAAACAAAACAACACAACACAAAACACTAACTGCGAAAATCTTTCAAATAAAGAGAAGATTTATTTTTTAATGATATTTAATATGCTCAAAATCCTTACATTATTGCTAATATCACAATGTATTAGGCCATTACAACTATATAAAATAATCCATTTATTGTTATATTAAATATTGGTACCTTCTTTGTTGTTTAGAACCATGGTTCATGACCCACAAAATCTATGAGCAGGAACTCACCTATTTTGAATATGTTTACCTTTAACTGCACAAGCACTGGAGAGGTAAAAACTCCTGGAGGATAACTTAAGGATATTCGGGAATCCATGCTTGACTTAAGAGTGAGGCCTTTCTTTGTTACTGTGAACGACTCTTTCTTTAAACAAGACACAACAGAAAAGATACCCAATTTGTAAACTTTTACTGAAGCACAAGTCCCCTGTAGGGAATAAAGAACATTAAAACAAGCTATAACACCGATTTGAAAAATATTTGCTGTATAGACTCTATGGATTGTCAAAAAAAATCTCTACACTCTTTATTTAATCACCTACGATTTAAAATGATTCCAGGAACCTAAAATGGATGGTCATTTTATGAGATTAAGTAGAAATCGATAAGAGTTTCTCAAATTTAGACTACAAAATAAAAAACAAAAATAAACATATTTCTTAAATTTAAATTAAATCTTCCCCCCAAATTGTGCGAATAATGGGCAATTATTTTCAGTGTTTTCACAAATATTATTGTTCCTAGAATTCTAGCCTCCATTAGTGAGAATTGATTTTAAATATTGGCCTTTATCCAAAACATTCAACACTGTTTTAGGGAATCCTAAGGACTGGAAATCCATTATTTGTGTAGTTTGCTTAAACACTATAACACCTGTGCTGTCAGCAAATTCTTTCTTCTAATAGCTCACAATAACTTAGGTTCCCCAAATAAAGTCATTTTCTCTATGTCTCTCTGTGCAGTGGGAGCAAATGACTAAGATATTTGTGCTTCTTTATATATAACGACATTCAAATTTATAATGCATATATACAGACACATCCTGAAGGTTTTTTATTGCACAAAAGGCAACTGCGTACATAAATGAAAACAAAATGATCTTTTCCTATAATCACCAAAGCTTAAAAGAAGGAGGCAGAGTTAGAAGTAATTTGATCTATTCATACTTCCCCAAACAGCAGCCAGGCTCTGCCCCAGCATGAGTGGATAATCATGCTCACATACACAAAAAAGCATTTCAGGGACAATCACAATGGAAAATAGTCTACCATTTGAAAGCTGACTAAGGAAGAGATTTCACAATATCGCTGAATGAATCTGTCTCTGGGAAAATTCAGGGCATGGTGAATATTATTAATTGGCCAGAGGGAAAATTGTGAGAAGTGAAAAAGAAAGATCTTCTAGAAATCAATGGTGGTTGCTGTGCACTTCGATAATATTTGATAGATTCTGAAAAGCCAAAAGGGTTTTTAAATAATTAGAATTTGAAAATGTCATACCATCCACATAAAAATTTGGAAGTAATCAGAGTTTAAATTTTTTTCTTACTATGAAGAGAAAAATTCATGCCTGTATTTGTTATGATGCACAATGATTCCCTCTCTCTCTCTCCTTCTCTCTCTCTCTTTTGTTTTAATTATCCATTTACTGAACATTTTCCAAACCCATTTTATGACAAGTGGGCTATGAACAGTTTTCGCTTTTATTGTGATAGTTACACAGACTGGCCAAAATTTAAGAGCTCCAATCAAGGGCAATGCTGACTAGACTATCATACCTAGAAACTTCTGATACTAAATATAAAATGTATTAGTTGCAGGAATTGGAGTAAGTAAATAGAATAGGCTTAGCTTTCATATTCAACTATAAAACCTTATTTGAAACACAGAGAAAACCAAAATCACAAAATAAATATATAACAAATAATTCCATGTATATATGGATTTTTTTTTACATTTATTCCCTGCCCTCCTCATCAAATGACAACTTACATAAAGCTGAAAAAGATAAATATTTTAATTGCTTAAAAAGAAGTTAAGTGGCCCAAAGAAAAACTTTAAGTATTAGTATCCATAAAGTCCATACTAAGTTTATTTTTATTTGTTATTTTTGAGACGGAGTTTCACTCTTATTGCCCAGGTTGGAGTGCACAGGTACAATCTCGGCTCACCGCACCCTCTGCTTCCCGGGTTCAAGCGATTCTCCTGCCTCAGCCTCCCGAGTAGCTGAGATTACAGACATGCACCACCAGGCCCAGCTAATTTTTTATTTTTAGTAGAGACTGGATTTCTCCATGTTGGTCAGGCTGGTCTCGAACTCACGACCTCAGGTGATTAGCCTACCTTGGCCTCCCAAAGTGCTGGGATTACAGGTGTGAGCCACCGAGCCCAGCCTCCACACTAAATTTAACAGTTATTATATTCTCTCTTCACAGCATATGAATTTGTGATCATACAGAGCCTCAGAGTTATTACAATTAAAATCTGACATGAAAATGATAATTTATCAACAACTAACATGTGTTTATAGGCTTCCTTCTCTCTTCATAAGTGTATTATCTATTTAATTCAACCATACCAGGTAGACACTATTATCATGTTCATCTCTCAGATGAAGTCACTGAGTCACAGCAAGGTTACATAATTTTCCCAAGTTCACACAGCAAGAAAGTGTAGAAACCATATGTCAAACCTAACCAATCTTCTTCCACAGGCCACATCTTAACTACCACATATACTTTCTTCTATGTATAGACCAAATTTCATTTCTAGACTTATTAACAATCTCAAGGCATACACACACATACACAAATTTTTAAATTTTTTGTATATTTTCCCAACCCGTGAATCATAAAAATTAAAGCTACTATCATCTGGGGATTCTAACATTCTTAAATTTAGACAAGGGTCCATCATATTAGAAAGGTTGGTCTGAAGTTAGTCAAAAGCACAAAAGTAATTAAGCCATGATTTTGATTTTGTTTCCTAGGTAAAAAAAATAACATTTGGTAGGTGTTCAACCCAAGCTCTCCATTCCTAACTTTGGCTAATCATTTCCATCCTTTGATCTTTATTGATGGCAATAAATTATGAATGCACTGGCACAAATCCAAAAATCCTTTCATTTATTACTAGTGGAGCAATTATATCTACACTACAATCTATTAGTCTGAGTAATATTTAGAAGAGGAGCCAAACAGCAAATGTAGATACAGCCAAGAATTTACTAACCTTATAACCTCCCTTCATTCCTTCCAGTGAATTTGGGTTTAGGTAACTTGATTGAAGATTTGTGTCACACACTTTCACCATGATATCTCTGTAATTTCCTCTGTAACGTGCAGTAAATGGAATTGCAATGCCTATTGGAAATGGAATTCTCTTTTCCTTATCTGAGCATTCAATAGTTACGACGTTGCTAACTAACTCTTCATTATTACCCACTATTAAAGAACTCATGTTATTTATTATCCGGCATTCCAGTTGTTGTAGAACATATGATGGTGCTGTAATATAACAAGACACTTGGGGGTCAGTATCATCACTCAGCACATCAAGATACCTGAAGGGGAAAAAAGAATGTCATTTTTCCAATTATTTGATTTATGTACTTTACAGCTAAATGAAGAAAAGCACAGACTCTAGATCTACATTGTCTTGGTGTGAATTCCAGTTCTGATCAAACCTGTGACCTTGGGCAAGATCCTCGGCCTCTCTGTGCCTCAGTTTCCTCAATGGTAAAAGGGTGATAACATAATAATTGTCTCATGGTAGTATGAATTGAATTAAATGAACCATTACATGGGAAGTAATTAGAGCTATGTCTGGTACACCATACGTGTTATATATATCAGCTATAATTAGTTTTGCTACCATTGTTATTTAAGCAATTGATTCATTCCACAATATAAAGCTGAAGATTGCTGAAGTTTCTTGGTAAAATCAGTACTAATACTTGAATAATTTCCTCAACTGTGAGGAAAGGGAGTAAACACATACGAAGTATTGTAATTGTCTAAACACATTAGATCAAATGATGATGGTGATTATATATTTTTAGAAAAGCTGAGAAAGATACAAAAGAACTGTAAATTTATCATTAATCATAATAATTAGGCAAAGATTACTTACAATCTCCCAAAAAATGAATCCAAAATTTTATTTTGATCATTCATTTTACTCTTTTTAACCATCAAATTTGCCGAGGATTTGAGAGTCATAGATTTGAATTCAGATTTGAGATCAGTCACGATTTACTTGACCTTACAAATTAATAATTTTTATTAAAATAGCTAATATTTTACTGCTTTCTATTAAGTAGTTTTTAGGCTACACACTATTCTCACAACTATTGTATCAGGCAGGTGCTACTAGTGTAACTCTTTTACAGATAAAAACACTGAGGCTTAGAAAATTTAACTTTCTTTCAAAGATCCCACAGATGGTAAATTTTAGGACGGATAATTGGCTCCATCTACCTTTAATGTAAAAGTCCAAACTCTTGAACCTAATATCATAATTCCTTAAATCATTCAAAAATGCTGGTTACTTTATTCATTGCAAATTGAAACTAACATCTAATTCATAATAATGTGAAGACTGAATGCAATGAAACATTTAAACATACAATAATGTGTTGGCCCAAGAAGTGTGCTCAATAAATGCTGGTTTTCTACATTAAAATGACCAACTTGAGTTCCTCTTTTTTACTACTCATTTATACCAGTGAAATGATTGAAATACTAATACTGGCAATGTTGAAGAGAAATAAGAGGATCTATATTTAATAAAGCATTAATGTCCAGCTCTACAATAATCAGATTTTAGACATTTTTCAACTACTGGTGAATAGAATTATAAAGTGCAATTTAACATAGAAATCCAAAAAATATGTAGAAATTGCAGAGAGGGTCATTGATTTATGTTTACAATTCTAAACTCATAGTTAGAAGGAATAGAAAATGACTCAGCACATTGTTCTGCTTGAGTATTCTTTGGTGATGATGATAAAAGTAATTCAGAAAACGAGAAACATTGTTTAATAAAGGATACAGTGACCCAGCATTGTATAACTTTAGGAATGACTCTCCTCTGTGCCTTGGAAACCATCTTAATACACTTTTCTTCCAGGAGTTATGTTTCTCAACTGACAGATGAAGTAGGACAAGGAGACTTTTAAACAGTTCCATTCTCTCTAGCCCTAGTCAAATAGATCTAGACTAGACACTAAAATACAGTTACATGGTAGTTACCAAACAGCATGGCACTGGTATACAAACAGGCACATAGATCAATGGAACAGAATAGAGAACCCAGAAATAAAGCTAAATACTTACAGCCAACTGATCTTCAACAAAGCAAACAAAACTGGGGAAAGGACACCCTATTCAACAAATGGTGCTGGGATAATTGGCAAGCCACATACGGAAGAATGAAACTGCATCCTCATTTCCCACCTTACACAAAAATCAACTCAAGATGTATCAAGGACTTAAATCAGACCTAAAACCATAAAAAGTTATAGAAGATAACATCAGAGGCCCAGCACTGTGGCTCACGCCTGTAATCTCAGCACTTTGGGAGGCCGAGGCGGAAGGATCACCTAAGGTCAGGAATTCAAGACCAGACTGACCAATATGGTGAAATTCCATCTCTACTAACGATACAAAAATTAGCTGGCGTGCTGGCAGGCACCTGTAGTCCCAGCTACTCAGGAGGCTGAAACAGGAGACTTGCTCGAACCCGGAGGTTGCAGTGAGCTGAGATCGTGCCACTGCAATCCAGCCTGCGGGAAAGAGTAAGACTCCATCTCAAAATAAAATAAAATAAAAAATAACATCAGAAAAACTTTTCTAGACATTGGCTTAAGCAAAGACTTCATGACCCAGAACCCAAAAGCAAATGCAACAAAAACAAAAATATATAGGCCTTAACTAAACTAAAAATCTTCTACACAGTAAAATAAACAATCAGCAGAGTAAACAGACAACCCACAGAGTGGGAGAAAATCTTCTCAATCTACATATCCGACAAACGACAATATCCAGAATCTGCAAGGAATTCAAACAAATCCACAAGTAAAAACAAACAATCCCACCAAAAAGTGAACTAAGGATATGTATAAACAATTATCAAAAGAAGATATACAAATGGTCAACAAATATATGAAAAAATGCTCAACATCACTAATTTTCAGGGAAATGCAAATCAAAATCACTGTGCAATAACACCTTACTCCTGCAAGAATGGCCATAATAAAAAAACAAACAAAAAAGATGTTGGTGTGGATGTGGTGAAAAGGGAACACCAGTTTACATTCCCACCTTCAGTGTAAAAGTGTTCCCTTTTCACCACATCCACACACACCAACATGTTTTTTGTTTGTTTGTTTTTTGATGTGAATGAGAAAATAAAATGTTTGTTTTTCCATTCCTGAGTAACTTCAGTTAATGTTCTCCAATTCCGTCCAGGTTGCTGTGAATGCCATTATTTCATTCCTCTTTATGGCTGAATAGTATTCCATGGCATGCATATATGTGTGTGTGTGTGTATACATATAATATCTAATATATTATATACATTTCATATATAAGATAGAATATTTATATAATATATAATATATAAATATATATTATACATAAAATATTTATATACAAATATAATATATAAAATATATTTACATATAGCATATAACATATAAATATACAATATTATATATAAATATAATATATAATATTATATATAATAGAGCATATAATATTATATAACATATTATATATTATATATAACATAATATATATTATATATAACACATAATATTTATATATAATATTTAATATATATAAAAATATATAATTTATCTTATATATTATGTAGTATATATTTATATAATATTATATAAATATATAATAGGCCTATTATATAAACATATAAATTTATATGATATAAATATTGCATATTATATAAATGTATCATACAAATATATTATATAAATATATAAATATATTATATATAATTACAAATATAACATATTATATAATATTTATATAAATATTATATGATGTTTATATAAATATATAATATGTGATTGATTATATAATCGTATAATATTTATGTAAATAAATATTTATATAATATATAATATTTATATATATTTCATATATTGTTATATATAATATGTAATTATATATAAGTATTACATACAAATACATTATATATTATATAAATATATAATATATAATATACATACATACAATATATTATATAAAATTATAATTATATAATATAATATATATGTATATGCACACACACATATATGTATGACATGGAATACTATTCAGCCATAAAGAGGAATTAAATAATGGCATTCACAGCAACCTGGGTGGAACTGGAGAACATTACTCAACTGAAGTTACTCAGGAATGGGAAAACAAAGATTTTATTTTCTCACTTATAAGTGGGGGCTGAGCTCTGAGGATGCAAAGGCATAAAAATGATACAATAGACTTTGGAGACTCTGGGGAAAGGGTGGGAGGGAGGTGAGGGATCAAAGACTACACAATGGGTACAGTGTACAGTGCTCAGGTGATGGGTGCACCAAAATCTCAGAAATCACCACTAAAGAACTTATTCATGTAACCAAACACCACCTGTTCCCCTAAAACCTATTGAAATAAAAAAAAAAAACAGAAAAAATTTTTAATTAAAACTTTAAAAAATAAAATACAGGTATGTAAAACATGAACACATATCAGTTAACAATGGACTGCACATATAATAGTGATCCTAAAAATTATAATAGTGTATTTTTGCTGTACCATTTCTATGTTTAGATATGTTTAAATACACAAATACTTACCATTGTGTTATAGATGTCTATAGTATTCCGTATAGTAACATACTTTACAGTCTGTGGCCTGGGAGCGATATGCTATACCATATAGACTAAGTGTGCAGTAGGCTGTACCATCTAGATTTGTGTATGCACATTCTGCAGTGTTTGCATAATTGACAAAATCACCCAACCATGCATTTCTGTGAACATATTCCCATCTTTAAGTAACTGATGACTGTAATCACACTGGTTTATTCTAGCCTTATTTTCCCTTTTTGTGTACACCAGGACAGCCAGGAAGAGATAGGTTTCTTTCAGAATGCTATCTGGGTTTATCACACACATCTTTTATGTGGCATGATAGTTTCCTAGGCCGAGGGATTGCAATGAGTACTCAACTTCTCAAATACACAAGCGAAGCACAATTGGTTTGGGTGCTGCAAAGAGGAAGTCACTAACCAGGAAACACCTAAAGGAGGTGTTAGAGGGAGTAGTTCAGGCAATGACTCATTAACCGATGCTGTGAGTCATTTCTGAATGTGAGAATATGAAGCTTCAATGTTTTTCTCAAGTGAAACAGGTAACCACATATAGACTACTTTAGCAGTTGTTTTGTCAGAGCGGTAGTTCTTACAAATCATGTAGGTCTATCATGCACTGAATACCCTCAAACATAAAATTCATCAGACTCTCTGACCTGTAGAAACATTACAGCCAAATTAGAACCACCTCTTCATTTTATAGCAAGATAACTAGGGTCAAGGTGAGCAAAATGACTTGCCTAAGATCATAGTCCTCAAAATGGTATCATACACCTGAAAGGGCATCAGCACATCACAGCAGAGATGGAGGTAATGGAACAATGGTGGTAAGTGGCAGGTGAAGAAAGTGAGAGCTTCTGGAGCTAAAATAAACGAATAGACTAACATTTACCTGGTGTGACTATGTGAAAAAGTGGCCTGGTGTTAGGTCGTTTAAGTGATTTTCTCATTTGACCTTACCAAATAATCCCAGGATGTATATATTATTTCTACAAATAAGAAAATGAGGCTAAGAAATGAAGCAAGTTGCCCAGGGTCATAGAATTAGTATATAATAAAACAGAAAGTGAAATTTAAGTTTGTCTGATTCCCAAAACAAATAATTTTTTTCACTTCTTTTTTTTTTTTTTTTTTTTTTTTGAGACGGAGTCTGGCTCTGTCGCCCAGGCTAGAGTGCAGTGGCCAGATCTCAGCTCACAACAAGCTCCGCCTCCCGGGCTTACGCCATTCTCCAGCCTCCGCCTCCCAAGTAGCTGGGACTACAGGCGTCCACCGCCTCGCCCGGCTAGTTTTTTGTATTTTTTTTAGTAGAGGCGGGGTTTCACCGGGTTAGCCAGGATGGTCTCGATCTCCTGACCTTGTGATCCGCCCGTCTCGGCCTCCCAAAGTGCCGGGATTACAGGCTTGAGCCACCGCGCCCGGCCCCCTAAGCGTGTTATGTTTGTCTGGGAAAATATGAGTGTGAATATCTTATTTTATATGGACAAATAGTGCCTTATTACCTCTTTGCACAGGGGATAAAATTTACAAAATAGATGGGTCTTTCTCACTTTTTTGAAGTCATGGTCTCCTAGAGAATCTGATGATAGTTCTAGACCATATCCAGGGAAATGAAATAGGTCTGAACATACACATTCAATTTTAAGTACCTCCCAAAGTTCATCCATGAAATCCCAAGAGTTCTACAGACACAGGCTTAAAACTCATAATGATTTTCTTGAGAATATAAATAAAGTGAATCCAAGGATAAAACATTCTCTCCAAATCTTCTAACTCCCTACAGTCTTCTAGTTTTTGTTACTATAATTGAAATAGTAGTAATTTGCAAAGTGTTCATGATCTGGACAATTGATCATTTTAACTACTTTCCTGTCTACTCAATTCCTTCCTCTTTAAAAAAAAGGTAATGTGTTTCTTAAAGCTATAAGAAATATAGCTTTAAGATATATAACAATATTAATAATAGTGGCCATATAAATTTTTATAGGAGTGATTCAAGCTGAATTACTAATTTACAATATCTTTGGGAGATATGAAATGGAAATTTTATTCATGTATAAATACTATGCATGTTGCTATAGTCTAAATGTTTGTGTCTCCTCAAAATTCATGCAATGAAATCCTGGCCCCCAAGGTGATGGTATTAGGAGGTGGGTCCTTTTGTGAAATGATTAGGTCATGAGGGTGGAGTCCTTAGGAATGAGATTAATGCCTTTATAAAATAAGCCCAAGGGAGCTCATTCACTTTTTCCACCATGTTAGGACACAGCAAGAAGCCACCTCCCAGACACCAAATCTGCCAGCACCTTGATCTTGGATTTCCAAGCCTCCAGAACTGTGAGAGATAAATATCTGTTGTTTAAAAGTTACCCACTTTCTGATGTTTTGTTATAGCAGCCTGAATGTACTAAGACATGTACTGACTATAGAAACACACATATAAGTAGGCATACTTAAGCACTTCCCACATTGCATTTACTTACTCCTTTTCCATTATGTTATTCTTGTGCTTTATATTCTCTGAATCATTGGGAAGAGTACTATTTATATATTTCTTGGAGATATCAAATATTATTGAGGATGTGGTCATCTCTTCTCTTGGACTTTCTGAGGTTTCTTGAATTTCTCTCTCTGTTGTCTGGATTATGCCATGAATCTCTTTCCTGTTGCCATTTATGTTCTCAACAGTCATGTGTTCTATTTGTTTATCATCTTCATTTTCTGCATTATCTGGGAACATTTTGTTCTGTGACTCTTCTTGCCCCAGTACACATCCTTTTAGTGATGTATTGTTTTCTTTTTCCACTAATGCTGAACTCATATGTGTTTCATTTTTTTCTAACTGGACCTGGTTTGTGTAATGACTGTCCTCTCCATCTGTGGGAGAAACAGTAACTGTTTCTATGACATTTAGTTCCCCTCTTGCAGCAATGTCTGCTGCTTTGGTATCTTGAATGGAGGACATTGTCTGCTGTGGAGTACATTCATCATGCATGCCGCATAAATTACACATCTCCTTTTCTTCTTTCTTTAGAAGTGCAGCAGTGCTCCCCAAATGTTCAGTTATTTTTATGAGGCAGTCTATGAAAGTAACGATTTCTACACACACATACATAGACACACAAAGAATAAATACAAAACTAAACCAAATTATGTTTCTGCATTGCCATCTAATGAAACATGGCAAGATAATTTTAGAAACCTACAAAGACCTTTACTGGGCATTTAAGCCAATCTCATGAAGGAGAAGTAATTGTACAACTGTCACTCTTTTAACAATTGTAGGATTGAAAACAAATCACTTTTAACATGGTAGCAAAGAGTAAATCTAATCCCTCTTGCTTATAAAGATACTTTGAATATTTAAAGACAAATGTCATAACTTCTCGCTCCCCCAATAAGAACTGAAGTCAACATCTCCCTCAATTGTTTTTCATTTGCTATGATTTTGAGAACTGTTCTTTTACCACTGGATGTACAATAGTTTACCAATGATCCATTTAAAATGCTGGGCTGAAAATTAGGTGAACACTTCAGATGTGGCTTGGTTGGCAGAAACACCATAACTCCATTATTTCTGCCAATGTAGATGCTACGTTTTGGAGCCCAGTTACTACTATAAGAATTGGATTAGGTTCATACTATTCCTCCTGATGAATTTGTGATCACTGGAAATTTTCAAATTAGTCCTTCAGAGAATAGCTCTGACCATACCAATTCTCTGATTGGAACATGAAGTGACTTTTCAAAGCCTGTTAACTCAGGTCAACCTTCTTCATTCTGGATTAAACTCTCAGTATGGTCAAATCTGATATAATCTCTCACTCCATCATCATTCTTCCCACGCTCCTATTTTTCATCCTGCTTCTCCTCACTACTGAGGTCACCTGATGACTTCTTGCAGGCTTAGTGCCTCTCTAGTCTTTAGAATTCAGTTCTAAACTAAAGAATATGTAATTTAAGGCCCCATAACTTAGTGTTTTTAAAACCATCACCAAATCATCCCTTCGCCAAGTCCTTGTTTTTTTCTGAATATATATTTGTCTTGTTATGTTGCCAAGGACCATGTTCCATTCCCTCCAGAGATTAAAGGTCTGATTTTGGGCTGCAGCTGATGGCGTCTCAGTCATGCTACCTTTGGAAAGATTTCCCTGATGCCCACTATTTGCCCTTTAGACTGAATTTCTTAATATCATCAACCCTGGATTTCATCATAGATGGAACCTGCCCACTTATCTTGATACTGTATTATTTAGAGTTGAATTTCATGATGCCACCTAGATGCTTATCTGGAGTAACTGTTGTTAGCTAGGATTATATTCATCAGATTCCACATTCTTCCTGCCCTGCTGTACTTTTCCACATCCATAACTGGACCTATTCCCAAGAATCCCTCTCCAGCCTCAGTGTATAGGGATCCAATTCCCTATCCCAACCCACTCCAGTCTTCCCAGGAATTTTGCAATTAATAAGTCTAAGCTCAAATGACCCCAGAAATAGAATATTATATTCTGATTTAAAAAAAAAAAAAAAAAAAAAACTACTAGCTCTGCCTCAAACTAGGCCTGTATTTTCCTGTCTCTTAAGTCTTGGATCCTACAAAAAATACCAACTCTCTATTTCCTGCTGCATAAGTCCAATTCACTCTTTAAGCTTCAGCTTAAATACTACATTTTTCTAGGAAACTTCTCAATTCCCCACCCTACAGATGGGATTTAAAATGCTTCTGAAGTCCAAAAGCACTTCATTCAAGTGTTTCTAATGGGACTGGCCCCAATGTCCCTGGCATTATTGTGCATTTGTCTCGACTTATTTCCCGTATGAAATTGTTAGTCTCTTGTGGACAGAAACTCCATCTTAGCCTTGTTGGTATGTTCATAGTCCCTCTCAGATCTTGCCCTAATCAATATTTCTTAGAGAAAGAATAAGTTATAAAAAAATACTTGCCTTTTCTCCAGACACATTGATTCTCCTTATCAAGCAGCACATGCAGCTGCTGGCAGGCGGAACGCAGGGTGCCTGCGGTGTGCTCCAGCAGCTGGTGAAGGGCCCTGCTGAGCTCCTGACCCAGAAAGACCACAGTGGCCATCCAAGTGGCCCCACCAGCCCCCTCACAAAGGTCATCACCCAGGAGTGCCTGCTTTAGCATCTGGTTTTGTCTCCAAATCTGCTTCAATATTTGGCCCAGTTTACCTGAGCCCATGTATTCCGTATCCATTTTATGGTCCAAAAGTGGTATTTTCTCTCCTGCCAGCAAAGCCTAAAGGTTTTGCAAATTCAAACTTGGTGATAGTTATGTCTCCTAAACTCTAGGAGATGATCCAAGTCAGCTGGCCAAGCACCTTCTCACAACATAGTGATTTATTCAGTTTGGTGTTGACTAGTGAAAAGTTACTAGGTAACCAAAGAAGGGGCGTTACTGTACCGTGTGTGCTACTGTGTACAGAATACATTAATTACTGGGGTAGAGCTAACTCACACAATCCAACTCTCTATGTGAGTTTTACAAAATCAATATACTGTGGAAGTCCCAAATACTTTCCAAGTTTTCAGGCAACAAAATATGGATTCCAGGTGGGATAAGAAGTTTATTAATCAAAGGTAAACTGTTAGAACAATATTGCTGGCAGGATTCCTGTAAACTTAAAGATATTTATGAATAAAATAATGTGATGTCTGATTTGCTTCTAAATAATCTGGGAGCATAGGGGTTGGTAGAGGTATAAAATGTGCTGTAAAAATTAATAAATGTTGAAGCTGGATATGGTTACACATGGGGTCTTGACAAGTCACTCTAATTAATGTGTATATGTATAGTATTTTTATAACCAAGAGTTTAAAAAGATTCCTCTACTGGAGCAGAGCCTATTACCATTGGTTAGGTAAGTATAATTAGCATCTTCTTATATGGTAAATCTGCAGAGACTGAGATAAGAACTTGGCCTCTAATAATTTCCCTCTAATTGGATAAAATGCCCCTTCACTGAAAGAAAGCAAACCTGAAGAGTAGCTTTCTCTAAACTAGCAAGAAGTCTTTACCATGTGTAATTAAAATTCAGATACAACAAGCTCTCCCCACTGCTGCCTGTCTGCCTGTCAGCACATCATATATGGGGCTATGCAATACAGCACTTGGGGGTATTTGGAGGAAACCAGAACAGTCTGCCTCCCTCTCTCCAATCCCACTGCTCAAGGAAGGGAGAACACACACCCACGCCAAAGGGAGAGGGCAGTGAGTACATTCCAGAGAGGCTCATGTTCCCTCAGGGGTACTGGAACAAAATGAAAGCTTTTCAAAGGGAAGCCGGAGTGCTTCCCTCCCACAGGCAACACATTATCTCATCTTAAGCCCTGGAGTTCTAAGAGCTACACTCAGAGCACCTGGAAGACAAGATGGGAAAAACAAGCTCAGAGAATAAATAATGAAGAATGACTGCCACTGCAGTAAAGACTGTCAAAGCCTCTGAAGGAAAAGGAAAGGAGCAGTATTGAGTGACTGGTGGCTGCGGAGTGGAGAGGGGCTCCTTCGCTATTATGTGTCTTATTTTTTCAGTTAACTTCTGTTCACTGAAAAGGGGACCTTTTTTGCAACATGAGTTCCTGTCACTTCATGGATTGGATCATATGAATCTTCTCAAACTAAGACTCACTCATTCATTTTATTTTCTTTCTCTTACTCCTTAAAGAGATGTCATTTTCAAAAATAATGTATACATGGCTTTAATTCAATGCCTATTTTGAAAACTCCTGTAGCATTTACTGTGGGACAGGAACTAAGTGCTGGAGGTCAGCCCTTTTTAGGACTTCAAGAGACGGGTGCATGAACAGATTATTAAAATAAAGCTTAGACTGTGTTGAGAGCTAGAGGAGAAGTATAAAGAAAAAGTATCATAAAAGCTTTGAGGAGTTTAAAAAAAACTCTGCTTAGAGGCCTGGAAAATGTTTGAATTAGAAACTAAAGGCTAACCAGGCTATAGAGTAAAAGAAAAAACTATTCCAGCATAGGAAATAATATGATCAAAGTCATGGCGTCATGAGATTACACAGTAGGATCAAAAATGTAAAGTATGGCTTTGGAGGAAGGTTCAGTTAATGAGTCAAGAAAAGTGGCAAATGAAGAGTTCAATAATTGTAGAGAGTGAGGAGAAGAAATTAGAATTTTGGTTTACAGATAAGAGAGAAATTGAATAGATTTAAATCAGGCTGCAATGTGATGAAATCTGTGCTGCAGAGATGCAGCTGTATTAGACAACAGAGATATAAGAGTTAGGAGGCTTGAAGATCTGTACTAAAACAGCAATAGAGCAGATGAAAGAAGGGGATGGCATGAAAGGGGTTTTGAAGTATAGTGGATAGAACTTACTAAACTTACTAAACCATCAGATTATAGGGAGAGGACTAGAAAGCACTGAAAATGCATCCATTTATTTATTTGAGAAATAAATATACTAAGAACTATGCTTAGTATTAGAATATGACTAAAATATTTAATTTAGGTGATTACATAGACTATAAAACTATTAAGGAATTTAAGAGGGACATTGGGCTTGATGGGTAGAAAATTTGTTTAATTTTAGATTTGTTGAGTGTGAGGTAACTCAGAAAAATTCCTTAGAATGTGTTTGAAGTTTAAAAATTAGAATAATATTGGTATATTTGAATGTCATCAGTAAATGAGTGGTAAATGAATCCCTGGAAGTAGATTAATGGAGAATTTACCTGGCACATTTTAAGTATTGAATAAAACTGATCATGAAATGCTGCTTGATCACTTCAGCAATCTACATTTATTTCTAGATATGTGGGAAAATCCTTTCTCAGGGAGAAAAAACAAACCCAGACATTCTCTTTGTTTCATTCACATTTGCTATCCTCAAGTTTAAACTTGTTCTCTGTTTGGCTTCTTAGGAACATATAATATTTGCAAAGTGAGACCTACCACAGGCCACGCTGCATTTACTTGTTAAAACATGCATCGGCATGTTCCTGCACCTTGTTTTCCATTAATTGATGTCACTAACCACAGAAAGAACAGACATTTGCAGTCAAGACACCTACAGAAGTTCACTGCAGAAATTCATCTGAATGATTTTAACATTTGATTATCATCTTCATTGTAGCTACTAATTATTATGACTCTTTTTACTTTCTTACTGAGAATTCAGTGCTGCCATTGACGTTAGTCTGCAGTCTTGAATTCATACCATTATGTGGTCAAAAGACAATAGTTTTTCTTAACATTAAAAGTATTCAAGTGGATTAGAAATAAAATTCAAATAGTAGGATAGTTCCTGTTTACTACCTAAAGAAATAAAAATATGCAATAGGGCTATCAATGACAGGCTATTAATTTCAAAGGAAGTGAAGACAATAAAGTTTTAAAGTATAATGAAGAGTGCTATTTTTCATGGCATTTATAGTGGGTAGTGGCGGGTAGGTCAGATGTAAGCAAAAGAGTTATGCATGCCTGAAGTATTATGAGTCAATGTTATTAGTTCTATAATGTGATTTTATTTTCATTGAATTTCTGTAGTTGCTTACATCAGAGACTTTGGCACTTACGGTCCAGAATAATTGTTCCCCTTTTGAACATTCATATTGAATGTCTGGTCATCTTTTGTCTGTTTAAGATAAACTCATGCATTTGGACAATGAGTGGATGGAGAAGGAAAATAAATTGTTTTCTTTTTGTTGTGTTTTTGTTTTCTTTAGTAACTTTTGGACTAGTAAAATATAAATTATACATTCAAATTTTTAATGTGCTTATCAATTTTAAAATGTTTTCAAAGACCAAGTGGTAAAAATCAAAGCTGCTAACACTTCTGATTAAACAAAGCAGATTAGATATATATTCCATATCTGATTTCTAGCGAGATGCCCTGAAAAGGATAAAACAATATACAAATCCCAAAAGATAAAGAAAATGGGTGATAATAGACAAAAGATGTCAATGAACTCCTAAAAGCAGATGGGCAAGTAGTAAATAACCAAACAGAGCTGAAACTTAAGCATCCAGACAGTGGAAAATAGGTGAGTTCTTGTCACAGAATCTCAGCAGTTCCCAGAATTAGAGATAGTTAGGACCTCTGAAAATAAAGGTGAACTTAGGGCTGTAAACAGGTGTTTTGTTGAAACTCTGTTTGGAGAGCAGGTAGATTCCTAGATTCCTCTCTTCTGCCCCAAAGAGCCAGGCAACAATCTCTCTCCCACCCATCAGAAGCTAGAGACTTCCTCTATGAATAAATGGGGGCAGCAAAGCTCAGCAGAGCAGAGAGCTGGAGGGGGTGCTATGCTGACAATGAGGTTAAGTGAAATTCTACAACGTTAAATTATGAGATCCCGCTCAATTCTTCTGCTCAACTCCAAGAACACAGGCTGGGAAGCATAACCTCCCAGGAAGAAAACGCAAAGTTTCCTCCACGGAGTAACTGAACACTCCATGAGAAAAACCTACTGACAGTGAAACTTTCAGTGTCCCTCTCCCTATTTCCAACCCCAAAAGCCTGCTCTGCCCCCGTCAGATCATCCACAGGGAAGCTCCACATCATACAAAGATTCCAAACTAGGCTCTTCATGCCTCACTTTAAGTGGAGTAACAACCAAGGAGGTCGGGCATTTGAAAAAGCCTCTAATATAAAGCTAGAGACTAAAGTAAACAAACACAACTAAAGAACTTGGGGGGAAAAAAACCATAACTTCCCTGTGTTTACAGGGAAGAGAAAATATCAAATGAATCTATAATTAGCATGTTCAGAGTCTAGGATAAGAAAAAATAATGCACTCACAAGTCAAGAAAATATTTTCTTTAAAAGGGGAGCATTACGGCAACGAGAAAAGACTCACAAAAATTAAATTATGATAATAGAATTTTCTTAATATGGGAAAGAAAAAGCGGTTGAGTAAATTCCCCAAAACATCAAACAAAAAGACAAAGAGATGGACAACAGGGGTAAAAGGGAGGTTAAGAAAATTAAAGGTTAAATCCAAGTGGTCCCACTAATATGAGTTCTGGAAAGAGAAAACAGAATGAATGAAATTATCAAGGAAATAATATAGAAATATTTCTCAGAATTACAGGCCGGGCGCAGTGGCTCACGCCTGTAATCCCAGCACTTTGGGAGGCTGAGGCGGGCGGATCACGAGGTCAGGAGATCGAGACCATCCTGGCTAATACGATGAAACCCCGTCTCTACTAAAAATGCAAAAATTAGCCCGGCGTGGTGGCGGGCGCCTGTAGTCCCAACCCCTCGGGAGGCTGAGGCAGGAGAATGTCATGAACCCGGGAGGCGGAGCTTGCAGCGAGCCGAGATCACGCCACTGCACTCCGGCCTGGGCAACAGAGGGAGACCCTTGTCTCAAAAAAAAAAAAAAAAAAAAAGAAATATTTCTCAGAATTAAAGTATATGATATTCTAGACAGAAAGAGCCCAGAACAGTATATGCAAAAAATAATCATAACCAGTCATATCAAATTCACACTAAGGATCAACATTCCAGTAGCCTCAAAAGGGGAAAAAACTGTCACATTTAAATCAAAAGGCATTGAACTTCTCAACAGCAACACTAAGACCTAGCAAATAATAAGTTGTGATTTCAATATTCTGAGGGAAACCTCTTTCCAATTCAGGATTCTTTTTCTGCCAAAAAATCATTCAGGTGTGCAGAGAAAGAAAGGGCATTTTCGGGTATGCAAATGTCAAACGATTTATCTCCCGTGTACCCATTTTTGGGAAGCCACTCACATGAACTCTATCACAAGCAACAGAATGACATAAGAAAAACGCAGACATAGGAGTCAGGAACTGGAAAATCCAGCAAAAGAGAGATTTAAAGCTAAATCAAATGCTTTAAATGATGTCCCAGGGCGACAGCAATGCTGTGGTCCTAGAAAGCCCCCACTCCAGACTGCAGCAGTCACCTGAGTGCTTCAGAAGTCTGTCTGCAAGCAGAAAAAATTGAACTGAAAAATAAGCTGATGTTTTAAACATTTTAAGAGAAATTTTACAATTCTATTAGAGAATTGAGGAAAAGAATTGTTGATAACTTAGCAACAGAAACAAAAGACAATTATTAAAACCAGCAAAAACTAAATTGTAAAGAAAAGGATATATAATTATAGTGTATCGCATAGTTCTGTTATGAATAATATTGACATAGCCACAATAATAAAGATGTCCATAATTACTTTAAAATAAAAACTGTGATATATGTGTATTATTAGGATGGGCATAGGAGGCATGTACATAGAGAATGTATATAGCAGCATGGATACAAGAGAGCAAAAAGTCTTATTTCTACAGCAGGAAGTCAAATATTTAAAAATAAATCAAACATTTAAAAGCAAAGAAAAACTATTAGGAATCTGGAGGTAAGTGTCAGAAGAAACTTCTAAAAAGTTTAATGTGATTGCCTCTGGGAAAAGACATGGGAAGGAACTAGGCAACTCTTGACTTCCAGGAACTAGCCTGGCACCACCAGCAAAGCCCTGGGGTTGCTATCAGCCATCCTGGTACTCACAGGTAGGTGTTAGCATTCTGTTGAACATTAAAAAAAAAAAAAAAAAAAAAAAAAATTCACATAACATCATCTACTATGATGGATCAAAACAAATTGAAGATCACTCTACAATCATGTCTAAACACATGAGCATTGTTTAAGCCACAAAATACAAAACATTCCTCTCTCTCAGCTAATACGAATGAGGACTGCTTCTTAACAATTGCATCTTTAGCATTACTCTAGTCCGCCCTCTCTAAAGATAAGACTTACTGAGATAGCCAATAACCACTTTTAGACAGCATCCAATTCAGAGCGGGAAACTTCCATCGGGTCACCCAACCAAAGCCCAATCCTGTTATAAGTCCTTTTTAACATCCTTTACCTGAGACACCCCTGGATTCTCTGTAGTGTGAGTTTTCCCTCACTGAAATGGGTAATGAGTCCTGCTTATTCAATTACAGGTGTGCTGCTGATGGCATTATGCTGGAGGACAATGACAGACGCTCAGGTACTTGGGGAGGCAGAAGGGCAAGCTGCAATGATCTGTTGCTTTTCTTTCAAGTTGTTGTTCATACTATATGATTTTTTAAAACTATATGTGTTATGTTACTTTGATATAATGTAAATTCGGATGTTAACAATGAAATAAGCCAAATGCTGCCTTCCCTAGGGATCCTTCGATGGTGATATTAAGGTTGACACAACGCATCACTTCAAGTGGGTTACATCAGATCAGCAAACATACACTCCACTGAGTTTGTAAGAAGTAATTCACCGTTTGAAAATGCTTGGAATTTGGTGGCACATGCTCAAGAATGAACTCAAATTTAAAGCAATCAAATGAACTGGGCATGAATTTCAAACAGAGGTAGAGTAACTACCACCTGGTAATGGCTTAATATCAGATACTTCATCTGGATCACAGAGCTCTAGATACAGCAGAAGGTCAACAAATGTTTGATGATTAAGACAATGTTGAAATGTAATAAAAAATTCACACATTCTTTTAAGAAAATCATGTCATTCTCCCACCTAGAAATTAATTAATAAAATTCCTTAATATCACAAAATATGTGATCAGGTTCAAATTTCCAATTGTCTCTTAAAAGCCACAATTATTTTTACACAATTTTTAAGAAGTAGGTTCCAAATACAGTCCTCAAAGGCAACTAAATCTCTTTTAATAATTCTCATATGAATTATGACAACTGAAAAATGTATTAAAAACATATTATATGCCAACAACGGAGAAATTTAATTATAGGCTAGAAAATTATCTTTCATTTTTGTCATTTTTATGTGGATGAGGAACAGAGGTAAAGGAATTAATTCGAAAGAAGTCACCAAAATTGAAAAGTCAGTAGACATATTTGCAGAGATATTTTCATTCCTTTGTGTTTAAGTAAATTCTTTACTATTCCATTAAGGTAGTTATTGATTTTGAGATGTTTTGTTTTACATAAAAGGTTAGTATTGAAAGTTCTTATTGGCAAGTTCTGCATTCACTATGTAAAGAAAATGGTTTGGTGTGAAGAACTGAACTACAACTGAAAAGTAATTATGAGTATTCAATTATTTGGTTAACAAAAGCTCCTTCTTAACGTCATTAATGGCCTCTGAAATTAACATCAGTGTTTTGGATTACAGCTTTGCAACATGTCTCCGTGAGTCATTGTTGTGTTTGTAAAGATTATGACTCTTTATACAGTCATGGGCCTGTGACATGAAACCAGTGAAATAAATTTTCATGAAACCAGTGAAATAAAAACTAGACAGTTTTATCTTCTGTCAAAATCTTCTGAGACAGATGTTAAAATGAAGGTGTGCCAGATGCATTGCTACAATATACTTTATGGTATCATAGTATTTAGAATGTGTTTCTGTGCAATCTTCATTGCCAGACTTCTACCAGGATGTGACTAGTGATTTGAGAAGTAGTTCTGAAAAAGACAAAGAAGAAACACACGAATGAAAAAGAGTTTTTAAAAAAGGAGACAAAGAAAAGGTCTCATATGTTCTGACACTAACATATTCCTCCCAAATCACTTCCAGGTTCTCTGTTTTACTTCCGGACAATCATAACAAAATTCATCAATTAAATGTGACTGTCCTATTTTAGATCTTACCTCCTTAAAAAGTCCTTTCTACCTGCACTCCATGACATCTCTTAGAGACGTCGTACACTCATCCCTTTGAATGTTGAATTGTCAGCAAAAATATCCCTTGCACTGTAAAAATAAATTTGCAAGAATCAAATTCTTCAGCATAAACTCAACACTCAAAATCAAGAAAAATCTATCTTGAAGCAGGGAAATGATGCAAAAGAATGCCTGATTTGTTGCTTTTTAGAAATATTTGAGCTCTTCCAGCTAAATGTGCATGAGCTGAGAATACCTCAGGAGCCCATAGTGTTCATCATTACTAGAAGGATGACATTGTACACAATGAGCCTTCAAGAGTCTTTGTTTCTCACATATATATATGGGTATTAACCATGTCCAGTATCAGAAGAGAAAATATTATCAATCTTCTTTTTTACTTTACTTCCCCTCATCATTGTTCTTATCACCAGGTTCAGGGACATTCTAGAACCTCAGTGAGTGGCATTGAGTGGGAGGAACAGCCATGGCTGGACCTAGGCTAGCATGTTCATTATGAAATCATCACTGGCATCTCCTTTCTGGCCATGTTTCCCATCCACCTACCCCTTTCAATGTACCTTCCAAGTTACTCTTTATCTCTTGCTGCCTTGCGTCATCTGTCAAAAACCACCAAAATAAACCCACTTTCATTAGAGTCTTGGCAGGTGTCGAGTCTCCTTGTCAGCATTATTTGATTATTATTATTATTATTATTTTTGAACAGAGTCTTGCTGTGTCGCCCAGGTTGCAGCGCAGTGGCACAATCTTGGCTCACTGCAACCCCTACTAATGGGGTTCAAGCGATTCTCGTGCCTCAGCCACCAGAGTAGCTGGGACTACAGGCATGCACCACCACACATGGCTAATTTTGTAATTTTAGTAGAAAGGGGGTTTTGCCATGTTGGCCAGGCCGGTCTGAAACTCCTGGACTCAAATTATCCACCCACCTCGGCATCCCAAAATGCCGAGAGCCACCATGCCAGGCCCTATTTGAATTTTTAAAGAGTGAATCTGTAATAATAAAATCTGAAGCTTCTATGGGATGCCTTTCCAGGTGCCTCTCAGCCTATGTGTTAGGTTTGTATGTGAAATGATATCATTAGGAGCATGTTGTTTTCAGCACTGTCAGAAATACATAACTACTAACTGTTCCATTTCTCAATTCAGAATTAGCGGTAACAGTCCAAGGAAGATGCATTTGATTTTTTAAAATTTATTTTAACTCCTTGTGATAAAAATGAGAGCAAGGGTGAATTAATTTCTATCCTAGTGGAGAAGTCATTTTTGTTAGGACAGAGGCTATCCAAGATTGTGCTACTGTTTAAAGATGTTATTGCAGTTACTGGCAGACCCAGATAACAGCTCTGATGTAATCCCAGATTCCCATATTGAATTAAATCTGATTTGGGTTATTTAGGTCACATATTGAAGAAATGCCCTTTCCGTGTCATTTCTCTGTAAATAGTGGGTGTCCTTTGGTTTTCTCTATAATATACATTTATTTTTGGAGCTCATTAAACAGGTTAGGCAATTTAAATAGGTCTAGTCAGTAGACAGGAGTTAAAGCTGAGGATAGAGAAACTCTCTGTGGTATTATCTAACACACAAGATGAGGGTTGTTCTTAATTCTTGGCTCCTACCTACAAAAGCACTGAAGGAGCCATTTGAAAATAAGGTCTTAAAATCAGATCCATACTTGAAATGGAAAAAAAAAAAAAAGACTTATCGCCTTTTATATTTGCATTTCTTAGGAATATTAATTTTGTTTTAAAAGCAAAAGCTTTAATAGATAGTGGATGTTATAAGAGCCATTTTGTCCAGGTGGGGGTGAGAGTAAGGAAATTTGAGCTTAAATAGTATAGTACAATTTGTTTTCCCCATCTCTCGTCTCATAACTGCTTTTGCTGCAAATACGTGGTTGCAATCGCTTCTTAATCTTAAGTCAATCTGCATTTTTAAAAGTCTAAAATAAACTGAGTGCTTAGGAGTTAGCGATCTCATTATACTTCAGTAATGGTGCCATATGAATTCATGTGATTATACAGGATAGTACAATAAAGTCAGAACCTCTGATGGGAAGTGGCTTCCTTGTGTCTTGAAGGAGTTAATTCCTCAGTGTCTCAATTATGTTCTAAGAAGGACCGATGGTACTAGGAAATATATGCCAGAACGTTCAGTACTAGAGGACTTCTCTTATTTCAAAAGTACAAGACTAATAATATATTCACTCATGGAAGAAACTGTTGTCTCTGTTTGGGCTCTTTTAAAAACCACAATTTCATTCATTAAATTTTCAAAATGTTAAAGATACCTTAGAATAGTAAAAAGGAGTAATTTCTAAAACACTGATGATTACTAATTGAATATCTGGAAGTACAAGGAGCCCTCGGATTATATTTTATGAAATAAGATGTAAGATTTTAAGATACGCATTGTCAACATATTCAAAATAATTTTATTTAAAAACTCTAGATTTTTTTTTTTTTAAAAAAACAGACTTTCAAATATTTTACTGTATGTCACTTGGTCTCATTTCAGCAATAAGATCTAAACTTAATACCTGGAGAATAATCTCAACATTCAAAGATAGCATGAGACATGCCATAAATTAAACAACAACAATAACCAAAAAAAAGCAAGAAAATATCTTCAGTATGCTTTTTGAGAAGAGGTAATTCACACGAGGACTATTTATGAGTAAATTAGGTTGTTATGATGACTTTTTAATGAAAGTTGGAATTCTTGTTCTGGTCCAGAGAGATAGTCATGTGTTTGAATGACCTTGAAGACTGTTTTTTTGAGCCATTACGTAATCCAGCAGCTGTGGCAATGCCCTTTTCTGAGATACACAAACAAAGAAGCAAACTGGAATAGACAAGTGAATTCTTGAGAAAGTTTGCACATCGCCATGTAGCTATGTGTGTAGAGCATCAGCCTCCATACAACGTTAACTGTTTCCAAATGATAGTGGTGACGCCCAACCTGCAGTTTAGCTGTGAGATTTGGGTCAGTAATTGATGTCACAGCCCATCTAGGGATGACTTTAATCAACATCACCTGTGAGCCATGAATAGTACAAACAGCAAGTCAAGATCATCAACAGTAATCCACTACAGGGAAACCAAATGTATTACCAAATCTCTGCTGGCTAAAAATGAGCAGTTATTCTCGTATAACTACATATTACAGAGAATAAAAGCCCTAAAGTGAGTCATTTGTCCATCAGGCAATCTATAGTGTTTATTGTATACTAAGCACTGTTCTAACCTTGTAAGTGGCTTAAATAGTTTTTCTCTCTGTGGATCTTAAAAATCTAGCTGGAGTGACTAAACTTGCATTTGATAAAGATCAAAGAAAACTAAAAATGTACATTCAAAAGAAGAAATGAGCAATGTATTAAACAAGTTGTTTAAAGAATGCATGAAATAGACAAGAAAGCAATGGAAATACAACAAATAGATGTCAAATATTAAAAACTCGAGATGTCCTCAAATGCAACTTCAAACTGTTGCATAGACCTCGATTTGTGGAAAGAACGGGGGAATCACAGCTGAACTAATAGTGCAGCAGTCAGGAGAACTTCACAGTGAAACCAGCCCCAGAGATGTAGCCACAGCCTAGAAGCTGTTTGTCTCCGTCAGCTGGTTACACCGAGCACATCCTGTTTCCATGGGGACAAGAACTGGGAAGCAGCCATATCTTGAACTTAAAAGAAAGAAAGAAGGATCTTCTGGGTTATGTACCAACTTATTATTAATGATGAGACATTCTTTTGCTCAGTCCTTGAATTTCTCATGCTGGTGGATTTAGTTTAATTTGGTTGACTCAGAGAAGACTTTGTGGATGTGAATTTGAATGAAAATGCAAGGTTTTTTTTTTTCTTTTTTTTTCTGGCCTACAATGTGTAAGACATAAAAGAAACAATTTTACTCCTGCCTGCTCTTTCTCTAGATGTTCCTGGGATTTTTACCTCTGCTGTATATTACTTGCTAAAGCAAGTTTTCCCCTATGTTTACTCTCAAATGATTTTTTTGGATACAAAAAGGAGAAAACAATGGAAGTATATATTATCAGATAATTACTTCTAGCCCCTTTCAGCCAAATCTTGGGATTTGAAGTTTGGATCCTTTACAAGTCTTCAGAAAAGTGTTTTATGCTGTAGCTGATTGCATTAACTACACAAGATACAGTTTCCTTTGAAGTTTTGAAAGATACATCTTTTGGACAGCCTCAATATTAAGGTAAAATATAGCTTATAGCACTTCATAAGGTCAGGCTCAAAGGACTTCTCACAAGTAGACAATTCTATTTCAACACTTTTGAAGAAAACAGCAACCACCGTAAACGGCTAAACAAAACATCAGAAATAAAACTAATATCAGTGGCATCTAAGTATACATACAGAGTTACACACACATTCTATCATAAATTCCATGTGTTATTGAGAAATAAAATTCATCCATTTTGGTGAATGCTAATAATTCCCACTTTCGACACTAAGCTGATCAAGATAACATAAAAGCTTGTTTATTTAATGAATGTTCACTAAGCATCTATTATGTGCTTTCACTTTTGTGTGCCTACTCTTTTAGGCACTGAGAAGAAAAGTTTCATTTCTCAGGCAGCTGAAATTAAAGTATGTATCTTATATCCTGTTTGTGTAGGTTAGCCTACATGACACGGCTAGCTAGCTAACTATGTTAGCTGGACTTAAATAAACACATTTCTATTGCTATGTAATCTGCCCATATCATATAATTTTGTTTGGATATCAAATTAATGCTACAGGTAAATAAATACTCAACCTGTTGCAGCATGCAAGGACTATCTGATATTTCACAACAAAGTTAATGCCAAGGTCCTTCAGATAGTATTGCTCTATCATGACTGCTAGAATAAAGTAATTGGTAACAGTTATGCTTGAAACAAAGCAAATTGTTGTATTGCTAAATAGTTACTGAGTCTATTCTGTTGTTGTCAAGCTTAGAATCTTTTTTTTGCACAGTATATAACAAAACAGTATGTTTTTAAGCTGGTTATATAATAGTTTCACAGAGCTACTATAATGACTAAGAAATCGTAGATGC